ATTCAAGGATGAAAATTTACGCAGTCGTTCGTATTCCCATTTTCTCACCAAAATCTGCAACACCATCATCACTTTTCTCTTCAAGAGCTGACCGCAGATCTAAACTGTTCATAGAGACCCCGAGCTCAGCCGCTGTAGTTTTTATTATATTCTCAGCACTCAAGCCTTTTTCTGAACTCACACATTCATTTAATGAAATCAACCTGATAAACTCACTTGTGGATCTTTCCGTCGTTTTTTCTAGTAATTTTCTTTCGAGCCTTCTGATATAACTCTCTTGTTTTTCGCGCTTCTGCTCTTCCTCGCGAATTCGCTGTTTCAAATGTCTATAAACTTTACATTTCGTTTTTCCCGAGAATTCAATTCTCTCACACTATCGTTTTAGCCGCAGTATCGACCTTCTTGTAGTGTTTAGATTCAACATCCCTGTAGTGATTCATTCTATTTTTCCTCATCAATTTTGTGTTTTTCGTTTCCAAATCCACGTTGCGATCTCTCAACGCGATGATCTCAGATTCGTATCTATTTGAAAATTTCAATCTTGGAAGAAAATTTTTCCAACTCGACGACTAAAATCGTATACAACTCAAGTATTGGTATGCGAAATTTTCTCTAAGAAATACTTCGAAAAGATGAGGGTTTGTCCGATGGGAAAAAAGGAAAAATTTTCCCCGGGAAATTTCCCGATTTACCGCAATTTCCGGAAAATATGGGAAATGGGAAAAATCGCCTTTTTCCCAAAACGGACAAACCCTGCAGTGAATATTGTAAAAGATGTATAACGTGCATTGGCAACCCCCGCGGAAAGGCAGAGGTTGTCTCGCCCTGTAGACAGAACTCATTGGTAGGATGAAAGTAGACGCAATTTAATAGGCTAAAACTCATCCCTCGTGCGCTAATGTGCATCGATGCTGAGAGTCTAACTGAGCCGTGTTGTCGTAGTAGGTGTTGGAATTTAAACTCACACACACACGTGAAGTGACAGTTGAAATCTATCTAGAATTCGAATTGAGCTCAACCATTTCAGATTTGCCCCATAGTTAACGACTTAAAGTCTTATACATATCATTTAGCGATATAATAAATGATATTATCTTCGCAGTTTATTCGAAAAATTCCACTTTCGAGATTACAAATATATAAAATATGAACAAAACAGTACAGGGGCGAGTACGACGGGTCCATGGACACTGTTATGATGAGATTAGCCCATAGCATACTCCGCGACTTCATCATCATCGATAAGACATAGCTCATGAAAATTGTTTAATATGTTTTTAATATCACCGGGAATATTCTAGTGGTAATTGATATCACTCTCATGGACAGAAGAACAGTCCGTGCCTCGAATCTACTACTATCAAGTGGTATGGGAAAATAGGAACATCATCAACTACATGTGTAGATGACATTTGCGGAAATTTCGAGGAAATTCTCATTGGTTTTTCTCTACATTTACTCCCGAATTTATATGTAAAATTAACTTTAGTTGAAAATTTATTTCATTATACTTAGCATTCGTGACGAGGGGGCGGAGCTCATTTGTTCCACGTATATTGATAAGATCAATTAATTTCACATAGGTCCAGCCCGGGTTGATCCCCGGGTAGGACATTTTTCCATCATT